TAACTGTACGAGTATAGACTACATTACAGTACTTTATCGTCATGTTATAAATTCCCTTTCTCTAAGGATAGGGTTTTGCTACTAAGTCAAATTTCTTTACAATTTGAATAGACGATCAAACGGCCTTTCTTTAGATTAGGCATTTGCTCTATAGGGCTACTTCTATAGTAATCTATATAATACCTTGTAAAATAATGAAGAAGAAAAGATGGCGACATGATGATTTGGCAGGGTAAAACTTAAAGACACTATCACTTTCTAGGTATTTTCTATAGTAAAATAATACTAATTACATACTAAAAACTACAAAGGACTCTACTTTTAGTCCTTTTACTACACCTACGTATGTTAAATCTCTGATTGCCTTCAACTATACAAAAAGTACCTGGAAATTGATCGAATTAACTTTAGCATTACATTTTTAAGTCTACAAAGTAAACTAGAAAACAAAGAGTGAAGATAAATAAAACACGAGGATTAAATAGAAATGACCGCATTAGTGATATTATAAAAGATTTGTAGAATTGTATGATCTATTAAGTCTATGAAACGTATAGACCCTTTATTAATACGAGAATATAATAATTAAAATGGTAAACTGCGATTAATAACCTGCATTCAGTAACCTTGTGTAATGTAACTAGTATTGTGATTGTAGACTATTAGCCATGTTTAGTATAATGTACGGTAGATATTTATCCTAAGAGATATTTGGTAGCTACTATAGACTGTAGTGGCATAGACTCTATGCTAGAGTACAGATGACTATATACAGTAAAGTGTTGAGTTACTAATAAGGCTATAGGTGAAAATAGAACTGTAAATCATATATTAGGATATGGTTAATTCATTGTACTTTGGCTGGTGTGAATAGTGTCTATGTAAGTACTGTAGTCGTATCCATATTGGATTAATGATAGTCCGCAGTAGAACAGTCTTTTTAAGAATAATTTAACTGTGTGTAATATAAGGTAAAAGGTTGCCATGCAGATTGTAGCTGCGAATGCTACGAAAAATATAAAAGCATGCAACTTTAGATTATTCTGTTAGTTCGTTGTAGAAGTCTTTAGTAGTAGTATTCGGCTCGAGTAGAGCTGTGTGTAGTTAATCTTTGTATAAGATTCAATAAAGCCCTTATTTTTCTAAAATTTGGAATTTCGTGATTGGTATATATCACACCTTGTAAGTTTGCATGCTTTTTACTGATTATAGTTTATTTTAGAGACAAGACTCTATTTCGTTGTTCTCGCTCTTATAATATAATGACGAATTTTCCACGATAATAATTACCGTACGATAAAGGCGATAAAATATTTCTCCAATAATATTAATTATTCTTAGTAATTCTTCAATGATATGATACATGCATTATCTCTACGAATATCGCTCTAATAATGTTATTATTCTTTATTCTCTTATTATAATTATTATGTACGGTGAATGTTGTATACTAACAACTACTAATTAGTTTAGAATTACACAATTTAGAGAATAGATAATCATTTTATCGTCATGCTTTATAGCTACTTTTATAGTTCCTAATATCACTGTTGTCTACATCATATTGCGGTAAATTACATCACGTTGATATACAGTATGGTATTGTAGTATATTTAGATTGTACTGTAACTCTAACATACAGTATTCCTAAATATAGGTAGTTAATGTTGTTCTTAAATATAGAAATGTTTACAGTCTTTTTTGCAGTATAGTCAAATAGTCAAATATAGATTATTGTATTTAGTACTTACAGTCTTCGCTATTACTTGAACTATTTATGTACTGTATATGTTGTATGGTCCAATTTACAATCTTGTTCTCTGCATGTGTTCTAGCCTAAAGCTACAAATACTAACGATTTGTACCTCAGAAATCATTAATTGCAGTAGTTACAATGTTAATGTTTTCTCATATTATTTTACGATAACTTATACGCTGCTCTATACTAACATTAACTAAGTCTAAGATTTAGATATATGACAGTAATCTCTATCGAATATCATATTAGTGTCTATTTTCTCAAACATATGCTTTCACTTTTGTTGTATATTGAAGCATGGCAAAGGACTCTACTGAATTGATTATTCCCAACGAAATTCAATCTATCTACGAAAAAGGTGTAAAACTTCAGCAAAGTGAAAATGATGTACAAGCGCTATTCTATTACAAGAAGCTCTTACTACAATCCAATCGATGTCTAGAAATAGTAACAATAATTATCATCAACTTGAACACGATATTTATATCGATATGACTGATTGTTACATAAATCAATACGAATTAGTAGAAGCCGCTAAATGTAATGACAACGCAGAGAAAGTTGCCAAGATACTACAAGATAAAGTCAAAGCTTCAAACTGTTTAGATAGGCGGGGATGCATTAAACGATTGCAAGGTGATTTGAGTGGAGCCTTAAATGATTTTTACAAATCACTCAAAACGAAGTTAAAATGGTTAAGAAGCGAAGACATCAGTGTCAGTGACTTATATCATAAAATTGGAAACGTTTATGATGATCAAGGCAAGTATGATGACGCTCTATCAATGTTTAATAAATCACTTAAGACTCAACTAACACAACTTGATGAAAATCATCCAAGTATTGCTATAACATATAGCAATATTGGACAAGTCTACAAGCATCTAGACAAGTATGATGAAGCTCTGTCAATGTTAAACAAATCACTCAAGATTACACTAACAAAACTTAGCAATAATCATCCAAGTATCGCTAATACGTATAACAACATTGGACAAGTCTATAATCGTCAAGGCAAATATGATGACGCTCTATCAATACATAACAAATCACTTAAGATTACACTAACACGACCTAATGGCAATCATTCAATTATTGCTAATACATATCGCGATATTGGACAAGTCTATAATAATCAAGGCAAGTATGATGACGCTCTATCAGTCTATAACAAATCGCTTAAGATTACACTAACAAAACTTGGTGATAATCATCCAAGTATTGCTAACATATATGACAAAATTGGGCAAGTTTATTGTCACCAAGGCAAGTATGATGACGCTCTACCAGTGTTTAACAAATCACTCAAGACTCAACTAACACAACTTGATGAAAATCATCCAAGTATTGCTATAACATATAGCAATATTGGACAAGTCTACAAGCATCAAGGCAAGTATGATAAAGCTCTGCCAATGTTTAACAAATCACTCAAGATTACAATAACAAAACTTAGCAATAATCATCCAAATATCGCTAATACGTATAACAACATTGGACAAGTCTATAATAATCAAGGCAAGTATGATGACGCTCTATCAATACATAACAAATCACTTAAGATTACGCTAACTCGACTTAGTGGAAATCATTCTAATTATTGCTAATACATATCGCGATATTGGACAAGTCTATAATAATCAAGGCAAGTATGATGACGCTCTATCAGCCTATAACAAATCGCTTAAGATTACACTAACAAAACTTGGTGATAATCATCCAAGTATTGCTAACACATATGACAATATTGGGCAAGTCTATAATAATCAAGACAAGTATGATGACGCTCTATCACTATATTACAAATCTCTCAAGATTAAGCTAACACAGCTTGGCGACAATCATCCAAGTATCGCTATAACATATAACAACATCGGAAAAGCTTATAGTGATCAAGGCAAGTATGATGAAGCTCTATCAATGTTAAACAAATCACTTAAGATTAGACTAGTACAGCTTGGCGACAATCATCCAAGTATTGCTGATACATATAACAACATTGCAAGAGCATATAATAGTCAAGGCAAATATGATAACGCTCTATCAGTATATAACAAATCACTCAAGATTCAACTAACACAACTTGGCGACAATCATCCAAATACTGCAATAACATACAATGGTATTGGAAATGTCTATGTTAATTTGGGCAAGCAGGATGATGCTTTATCAGTGTATAAAAAATCACTTAAGATTGAACTAGCACAACCTGGTGAAAATCATCCATATACTGCTGAAATATATAACAATATTGGGCAAATGAATATTTATCAAGGCAATTATGATAGCGCTCTGTTAATGCTGAACAAATCACTCAAGATTCACCTAACACGACTTGGCGATAATCATCTAGGTATAACTAATACATATCACAACGTTGCAAGGGTCTATACTCGTCAAGGCAAGTATGATGACGCTCTGTCAATATGTAACAAATCAATCAAAGTTTTACTAACAAAATTTGGTGATAATTGTAATCATCCAAGAATTGCTCGTATATATAGAAATATTGGGGAAGTCTATACTGATCAAGGCAAGTATGATGACGCTGTATCAATGATTAGCAAATCTATTAAGATTGACTTAACAAAACTTGGTGATAATCATCCAAGTATTGCTAACACGTATGGCGAACTTGGTCACGTCTATAAAAATCAAGGCAAGTATGACGACGCTCTGTCAGCACTTTACAAATCACTCAAGATTAAACTATCACAAGCTGGTAAAAATTATCTAAGTATTTCTTTAACATATGACAGAATTGGACAAGTCTATCATTGTCAAGGCAAATGCGATGAAGCTCTATCAATGTTAAACAAATCACTTAAGCTTAATCTAACACGGTTTGCTAACAATCATCCAAATATTGTTAGTTTACATAACAAAATTGCAAGAGTCTATAATCAGCAAGCCAAATACGATGACGCTCTATCAATATTTAACAAATCACTCAAGTTAATACTAACACGACTTGGCAATAATCATCCAAGAACTGCCGCTATATACAGAGATATTGGACAAGTCTATAATGATCAAGGCAAGTATGATGACGCTCTATCGGTGTATAACAAATCGCTTAAGATTATACTAACAAAACTTGATGATAATCATCCAAGTATTGCTAGTACATATGACAATATTGGGCTAGTCTATAATAAACAAGGCAAGTATGATGACGCTCTATCAGTGCATAACAAATCGCTCAAGATTAAACTAACACGACTTGGCGACAATCATCAAAGTATTGCTATAACATATCGCAATATTGGACAAGTCTATAATGATCAAGGCAAGCATGATGAAGCTCTATCAATGTTTAACAAATCACTCAAGATTACAATAAAACAACTTGGCAACAATCATCCAAGTATTGCTAATACATATAACAAAATTGGACAAGTCTATAATAATCAAGGTAAGTATGATGACGCTCTATCGGTGTATAACAAATCACTTAAGATTACACTAACACGACTTGGCGACAATCATCCAAATATTACTAAAACATATGGCGATATTGGACAAGTCTATAATGATCAAGGCAAGTATGATGACGCTCTATCGGTCTATAACAAATCGCTTAAGATTACGCTAACAAAATTTGATGATAATCATCCAAGTATTGCTAAGACATATGACAATATTGGGCTAGTCTATAATAAACAAGGCAAGTATGATGACGCTCTATCAGTGCATAACAAATCGCTTAAGATTAAACTAACACGACTTGGCGACAATCATCAAAGTATTGCTATAACATATCGCAATATTGGACAAGTCTATAATGATCAAGGCAAGTATAATGAAGCTCTATCAATGTTTAACAAATCACTCAAGATTACAATAAAACAACTTGGCAACAATCATCCAAGTATTGCTAATACATATAACAAAATTGGACAAATCTATAATCGTCAAGGCAAGTATGATGACGCTCTATCAATACATAACAAATCACTTAAGATTACACTAACACGACTTGGCGACAACCATCCAAATATTGCTAATACATATGGCAGTATTGGACAAGTCTATAATAATCAAGGCAAGTATGATGACGCTCTATCAGTCTATAACAAATCGCTTAAGATTACACTAACAAAACTTGGTGATAATCATCCAAGTATTGCTAACACATATGACAATATTGGGCAAGTCTATAATCGTCAAGACAAGTATGATGACGCTCTATCAGTATATTACAAATCACTAAAGATTAAACTAACACGACTTGGCGACAATCATCCAAGTATTGCTATGACATGTAATAACATCGGAAAAGTCTGTAGTTATCAAGGCAAATATGATGAAGCTCTATCAATGTTGAACAAATCACTTAAGATTAGACTACTACAGCTTGGCCACAATCATCCAAGTATTTCTATTACATATAGCGATATTGGACAAGTCTATAATCGTCAAAGTAAGTATGATGACGCTCTATCAATGTTCAAAAAGTCATTGCAAGTTTCTTTAGTAACACTAGGAGAGAATCATCCTCAAACTGCCAGATTCTATCGAAACCAAGCTGCAGTCTATTGTAAACAGTCTAATTATCGTCAAGCAATCTCATTCTATCGAAAGTCTATTAATTCTCTACGTAATCTGTACGGAGAGAGTCATCTTCAAATTATCGAGGATGAAAAACAAATGAATCAATGTTACGATCAATTGCAAGGAAATGAGAAGGAAATTGCTCCATTACAAGTAGACAATATCGTTCAGCAGCTTTTAGCTCAATATACAGATAATCAAACAGTCATCCACGACCGTTGCCTATCATCACCAGGTGATTTGTGTAGTCTAGCATTGCTCTAGCAGTCTTTTCCATCTATATAACATATTCTCACTCCTTGTTTTGACTAATAGCAGAAGAAAATCGACATTCAAATCAATTTGGAACACCAAAAGATAATAACAGACAACAATGCCGCGGTAAGTCTATATACAGCATCGAACTAATTTACTAATTGGATGATATTACATGCTGACATATTGGCTCAATATCGTAAATTCATCCAACTTAAATGAGTGATTATCCCTTTTCAACAATTAATTTCAAAATAATATCACAAGGTAAAGTACGGTATGTGGAAGTAGACTAGTCAGTAAAGCGTATACTATATAGCTTAATTTCACGGGCAAGTTGGTAATAAAATAAGGAGGTGATAGTTTTATAATACTGTTTTTAATTTAGAGAAAACTGTTGGAATAACTTTGTCAAAATCGGCATCATCTTTAATTAATTTTACTCATACTAGAGTTGAAATATACATTTACGACAACTTAATCAATCAACAATCAGCCTTGAGTCATCATATTAAACACTTTTCTCAAATAGAACATCATTATCTTCTACAATCTGAATCATTCTACATAAGATATCGCTACTCTTGTATTAATATCCAGCCCCTTTTGTTGTTCAGCATCTATACAGTTGCAGTGTTTCTACTTACATAAACCTTGTACTATAATTAGTCAACTTGCTACTATTATTAGTTATCAGTAATTTCTAATATAGTAGTTATCAATCATCTAATATTAGCGTGACAATAATATCTATTGTTAGTAACCGAACTGTATCAAATATAGCTATCCTTATAATCAAATAAAAGGCGTATCACTGCAGGACCTTTCGCTTTTTCTTCGAAATAAATAACTTACCATTACAATTATATTTTACAGTAAAATTTAGCCAACATGACTATGAAAACGTAGATAAATCGACTAACAAGAATATCAGTAAAGAAAATTACAAAGGTTAGTAATAAGTAAAAGAAAGATTTGATTACGTAATTATAAATAAAAGAATTATTGTGGCTGATAACATGACATACGTTGTCTATAATATTTTGCTAGATTTATCTGATATCATTCGTTTTGGCAAACGTAAAGAATCGATTCAATCACAATTGATGCGTGATTACACGTCTCGTAAAAAGAAAAGAATAGCAAGTGCAGATGATGAGTGAGAAGATAGGCAGTATAAAGGCTTTGCTTATATGTATTCAGTTTTTGTTAACTAAATACGAGAACCCAACATATAATAATTTGCCGTAGATGTTACTGAATCGTGTACAAAAATATAAATATTGTAATCGCTATACAAATATCTTACTGTAGACGAAAATAAAATTATAACTAAATTCGTCTACAGCGATAATAATTGAATTTTGAAATAGTTGAAATTGAATATATTTACTACCCTTAAAAAGAATATGTCTATTGCAAATATCATTAAAAAGTATGGGCAGTTTAATGCTGCTATGACTTGCGATATTAGTTACGAGCTAGCCAACTACTTATGTACTGGCTACTTTCGCATACCCAATACAAATGCGGTTCAATTTTATTCTATTTTATATTTCGCATTCGATTAATATGGCAAAGTTTTCATACAGACAGGTTGTTATTTGAAATCGGTTACAAAATTCATTTAAGATTATATCTTGTTTCATTTCTTGCATAGCAATTTATCTGCAAAATTAATGTAACAGTATAAATTTAACGGATCACTTTATCCAAATGACAAATAAAATTGGTATAGATTAGACTAGATTAGCTGCAAATCTAGATCTAACCATCGATGTAAATACTACTAAATATCAAGAGCGTGATATTTTCGATCAAGCAAAGAAATTTCTCGATATGTGGTATCAAAAAGTTATCCAAATGTAAATATTGATCAACCTGAGACAGCTTTACGATAAACAGAAGACAGCGATGATATTATTTTACCCATTAACTCTACTAAACTGCGAAAAATATTGTTTCGTTACGACATACTCGTCACTATAATAATAGTCAAATAATAAGTATTTATAGATTAAGAAATTGATTACAAATTATTAATACTATTAGAACAGAACCGTATTTTGTACATGTAGCTGATAGAGCACTTTATTTAACAATTACTTGAAATCAATTTAGCTCTATTTTATTTGCACATGAGGAAACAAACGTACTGTAAGTAACTTCAATTTTTCTTGTAGTTTTTGTACTCTGTCTTAAGACGACTATCAGTAATGAGATAACTTTTAGCAAGTTTATATGCCAATTATCGAGCGTAATGTGCAGTTTCACAGCTCTCTATGAGACTAAAGATGGAAGTAAATTACACTTGATTTATTTAAATAAATTATTAATCTAATTGAAATTTTGTATTAAATTATTACTGTCTTTTCTGCTCGTATACTTATTGGAGCTTGTTTGTATCTACTTTTACAGATCCTGCAATTAATGAGTTTATCAATCTTCTAAAATAGCATGAATTATCGTCATTTTACATCGAGAGATCCAGCTATTAGCATTGTGAATATAAATAGTACAAGCATATTCGATCTATTAGTAGCGTGGTCGACAGCTTTTTCAGTATCTGTTCTCGATCGACCCACTTTGACTTAAACAGCATATAGTAACAATAATACCTAGGGTCCATAATAAATCAGACTATGTGGATTTATAAAACGGTATTATTAGGATTTAAGCATGTATTACTACACTGCTTCAATGCCAATAATATCAAGCCTTACTTTTATTTACATACAAACATTCCCAACAGAGTTTTATTTAGTGTTGTATTACAAAAATTTGCAATTCGCTTTTTACCTTAATCTATACGCCAAAGTTTTGAATAAAATTAAATTTATCCACTTAGTTATTTTTAACATATTGACGAAGTTTATTTAGGTATTTACTACAGAAGAAATTGTCTTTGCCTTAGAAGTTCATTCTCTATGCTTAAATCTAGATAAAATCAAGCCTTCATTTTTATTAAATGTTTCTAACAAAGTTTTCTTCAACGTTTTACTATGAATAATATTTGCTATTGCCTTTGTAGTTATCTTTATAGATGCCAAACTATAGACTTAAGCAAGATAAAATCTAGCTTTCTAACTAATTGCAATCTATTCTTTCAAGCTCTCATTTGCATAGACAATCTATAAGACTACTAACGGCGTTTCATCAAGCATTTTACTCCAATAATTGTTATTGTATTATAGTATTAACATTGATACCGGCTGCGTTAAATTTTGGTCAATTCTGAAGTAGGACAATACCCAAGATTAATATTCCATTCTTGCAAATTCGTTGCATTTTTATAATAGAATCTTATATAGTGAAAGGGGATAAATTGAACGATATAAAATTCCTTTATGCAAGTTGCTGTAACAAAATAATAATAAGGATGTTCGTTCTTAATCTATTATAATCGTAAATTAATCTTAAGCTTCAACTTGACTGACAAAAAGGGCGTTCTAAGCCAACATAATTTTTTGCAGATTAGGACTGATTCATCAATTTAGTATTGACTACAGTGTACGTTGATATCAATATGAGTCATCATTTCATAAATTCTAAACAGAATTTTGAGCAACTTTGGGTTTTTTCTATAAGTACTAATTAATATTACTCCAAATCTATACATGAGTAGAATTACTTTATGAGTTAAAGTAATTCACTGCTGCGCCACCGTATGCCATGAATCACAGACCGCAAACTGAATACAATTAATTTAGATTAATATACGACCTACGGCACTTGTTTACGTTTATACTTAAGCATTAACAAAGATTTTTAGATGGTATATGCAAACAATATTTAAATTAGTCATTGTTATACGTAGTAATTAATTCATTAATAATTCATAATTCTATTGCGAGATAGTGCTATATGCAGTAGTACAAGAAAGCTATGAAAGTAGTTCATAGCAGTCATTGCTTTATAATTACTCAAACTACTGATGCGCTATATTGATTACTAGTAACTGATATGATTGTTTATCTTATATATTATAATATCTTTTAGCGTAACCCATCTTGTTCCTGCCTAGATCTACCATTGCGTACTGTATGATTAATTAATAGTGATAGATGACTGATATTAACTAGATTCCTACATTCATGACTGTTTCAAATCTTTACTAGCTTTATACTATAACTTTATGACACGATCTACGCTCTCTCAGTCCATGCTTATCACCATTTTTACCCTAATTTACAGTACTGTACTTGCCTTATTACTGTGTGAATTGCATACTGCACTCATTCCCTTTCGAGGAAAGCATCGTTAAGAGAAATAACTCGCCACGTTACCATGTAAGTTACAATGCTAAAGTTTTCCTAGATTTTTAATTAGAATATTTTATGTTATGGTTCCCTTACTTCAGCTTAAAAACAAGCACGGGTTATTTAAGGGTTTTAAACTAAGTCAGATAAAGTCGTTTTACTGTCAGTAATAATGTATTTCATATACTGTTAGTAGTCAGTACTACTATCCTATCACAGATTGGAAGATTTGCGTACTGTGTACAGAATTGTGTAGTCTTTGAATACGTTCTAGTAATTAATGAATAGTGGTAGATGACTGATATTAACCAGATTTCTACATTCATTACTATTTCAAACTTTATACTAACAGTAAAGGAGGTCAGCAAACATCTTTGATTACGATTTAGCTATGAAATTATTATATTGGATGGCCTGTAATCATTCAAGGCATGCATCTATTGCTAATCAGAGTAGTCTGATTGCTAGAGCAACTCTTCGATTTGTAGCCACTACAGCTAACCAAATAGACGACCAAAATAATAAAAATGTTAATGCTAAACCTTTGACGGATATGCCTGGACCAAAAGGCTTACCTTTTATTGGCAATTTATGGACAATTCTAAAGAATAATCGCTACTATCAAAATCGAAGTCATGAATTACTTTCCATCTATCATGCTAAATATGGTCCTATTTATAAATGCCGATTGGGGAGTATCGCCTTTGTTTACATCACCAAACCTGAAGACATCGCTAAAGTTTTTAAAGTCGAAGGCAAATATCCCAATCGAGGCCCAATATTACCTTTTCTTATTTATCGAGAACAGCGTAAAAAACCAAAGGGTATCCTGGTCGGGTAATTCAGTTCTCGTCTCTTAAGTTGCACAATTATAATTTGGATTTGTAGATATAGTTGTACGTTAGCTTGAAATAGGCACATGATACTAAAGTATCTACTATAGCATTGAATTGCATGTATATGATCGTCCTATTAACGATAATGACATATCCTAGACTATCTATTCTGTTATCTGTAATTATACTTTGCAGTAAGTATGCAGGATAGCCGTATATTATATATTTACAGTAATAGTTGTGCCCGTAACCTTATATCATTGATGATGGGTAATAATTCATAAAATTTCTAAAAAAAAATAAATTTTTGCATATTTCAATTACAGTATTAGTGAAGATTGGCGTTTATCGCGTAGTATTATGGATAAAAAACTCTTAAAGCTGAAAGACGTCAAAGCATATGACAACAGACTAAATGAGGTAACCACCGATTTTATTCATTACATCAAACGGAGAAGGATAGAAGATAACTTGAATGGAGAGATTATCAATTTGAAGGAATGCCTTTATAAATGGTCTTTCGAGAGTAAGATTTTACTATATTATTCCAAGGCACCTATAAGTTAAATAGCTGTAACGTAAAAATCAATTGTAACAGCATAGTAAGCAAACATTTTCAAAGGCAGATTAGATCAATTGACGTCATTAGTTAATAATCTTCATTTGTCTAAATCGTGAAATTATGAACTTGCATGATGGAAGAAACATGATTGGCTATCAAGCTATAATGAGCTAAACTTAAATGCTGTAAATTTAGAACATTGCTTCTTCAAGATAGAGTTTAATCAATGGTAGATAATACACTGTGCCGTAATATTTGCTCATTGCAAGGTTAGGATTATGCAATGATCCAATAGTTAATCTTATCTAATTTTCCTGATTATATAGCCTATTAGCTAATCAGATTTATTCATTTATCAATTCGATATTTTATATCGAATCTATTCACTTCATAAGTCAAATCTTGAAATAGTTCTGCCTGCTAATTCCTAGTACGCATCATTGCATGAATTAGTGCATTTTGCTAGTTATTATATCCTTTCAATTTTTTTTTTCACAAATTGGATTTAAAAATGAATTTTATTATCATATCTGTTGTCATTTTAGCGCTACCAGCTTGCTGAATAGAATTAAATTCGTTGAATTAGACTAGCCTAAAAATATCATCAACGTAATCGTAATTTTTTAAGTATTAGCATCAATGTTATAGTTCAATAAGTATTTAATAGCAAGCTGACCATTCTGATTCGGTATAAATTTTGACAATAGTTAACTTCTTCATGAAATCTAAATCAATTGATGCTATATTTCTTTTTATAAAATCACTAGGCATTAATACCGTGATCTATAACAAACGCCTGGGAGCTCTTAATGATCCTCCTATTCCTTTAGCTAAAAAATTTTATACTGCAGTATTTGAAATGCTGGATAGGACGGGTTTGTTAAGGTTGGTACCACCATACTATAAATACATTCAAACAAAATATTGGAAGGAATATTGCGGTTTTTGGGACACGTTATTCGAAATTGGTGAAGAGCTGATTGTCGAAGAGCGTGCACGTTTACAAAAGTTAGCTGATAGTGATCATGCAGGCCAAATACCTCAAGATTCTCATCGAAGTGAGAATATGGAATTTTTGCCCTATGTTTTATCTCGTGGTGAATTAACTGACGAGCAAATCACTGCAAATATTATAGAATTGATGGCTGGTGGTGTAGACACGGTAACCATAACATAGTTCTAACATCTATTTTCTCATGCTATTACAGTATATTTTAGTTCTATATACATATGTATATACATGAAGTGCTAAAAACAAGTAGGTTCTTATATGGTTAACCTGAAAGGTTTATAGCAAAGCTACTAATAGTTATTTCCATTACGCTTATAGACTTCTGATTTTTACTGTATGATATATGTGATTTTAATTTTTCAATTCATATACCCAGAGATAAATGGCTAAATATTCTAACTTAAAATTCTCAGTCTGCCAATACGATCACATCAGCGCTGTACATATTGGGTAAAAATCCTGATATACAAGAAAATTTATACCAAGAAGTCAAAAGCGTAATAAAGGATAGAGAATGTTTAGACTGGGATTCGCTTCAGAAAATGAGCTACTTGAGAGGTGTACTTAAAGAGAGCCAAAGGTGGGCTTAAGAAATGGAATCAAGTGTTTGCCAATAGACTGAAAAATAAAATGTACTTATAATTCTTTTATAACCAGAATCTATCCAGTTGTCCAAGGATTATCACGTATAATAGCTAAAGATGTAGTACTAAGCGGATATCATGTTCCAGCTAAAGTATGTAATGTCAAATGGTCGACTCGAATTAACGATTATACCTTACTGCTCTAGAAGCAATAGTATTATACCAGCTGTAATAGAATGATTTTGTATTGAAACAGTGTGACTTAAGAGCATACACATTTCTGTACAATTAAATTCTAATCACCATATATATCTATTATGATTTCAGACTATGATTATTACTGGTTCGTATGCAATGGCATTTGATAAATCATTATATGATGAACCTGATAAAGTCAAACCGGAGCGATGGATACGATCATCAGAGCAAAAACAGCCTCCATTTAGCTTCCTTCCTTTCGGATTTGGAACGAGAATGTGTATTGGTCGACGAATAGCTGAATTAGAAATGCAAATACTGCTTGCACGGGTAAGCTACCGCATACTTTCTTCGAGTATCATTATTGAGAGCCTTAAGTTATCAATAAGCGGAACATTCATACCTTACTGTTTTTGTCCGAAGAATGCGGTTGTAAGCGTATGCTAGCTCTAGTCTTTCTGACTCATAAATGTTTTATCATTCATCATCTCCCATTATAGCTTGTCTACGAATTTCGATTGGATACCCTTAATACCGAGAAAATTAAACTAATTAATAGAATTGTATTGTCACCGGAGCAAGCTATTCGAATTGCATTTCATCCCAGAAATTCTTAATGACGTTACTACTCGTTGCAAGCAGTAATTTGTAAAGCTTTGCTTGTGTATCAACTAAATTTCTACTAATAAAAATCGTATCTAATTTTAGCAGCATAAAAATGTAATGATCGATGTTGTAGATTGATCGTGATTCATGGTTTAAAGATTTTGCTAACTTAATATTATTGTAAATTACTTTGCATCAGTAACTGTATCGTCGAAGAATCGCGAGCGGAGGGCAGAGCATGTAATGCGATAATTTTAAACGTATTCTAATTTTTGTGGTTAGACATAATACAAATGGAATGTACGCATATTCATGCTATTAAGCTTCTAATTCACAAATATCGTACTTGGCCATTAAAAACGTAATTATTGCCTAGTAGTAAATTTAGTATTTATAAATCTTTTTGTCCATCTATCAAATAGCATCGTAATTTATAATAGCATAAAGGTATCAAATATTAGAAAGCAATATCCTATTCTATCGCATAGTAACCTTGAAAGTGCTTCGCTATCATGAAGTTTCAGCATCCTAGTAAATAAGGCCAATACTGTGTAATCGTAATAGCTACGCAGCAGCCGAAAATATTTTAGTGTAAGTATTCTGAAGGCTTTATTTTTGGGTTGATCTCGAGATATTGTACATTATAGTAAACATAAATTATTCTATAGCACCGATATTTACATATCCTAATCAAGGGTATCGAAATATTGAACAATATTCTGCGAAATGAAAACTTTCTCATACGTATATGATACACATCGAGTTCATCTTAAATAGGTAATCCTACATACACAGTAGAGGCTTTTACATTTGCGAAATCGATTCCAATATGGAAATAGTATAGTGTCGTGCATATTCCATTTGAAACAATTTTAATTAGTAATCATTAATCTACAACATAAGTACAATAATACCAGTATTTTAAGAGATATTTACATTACTTGTGTGCAAAAATTTACCAGAAGTGTTATATATATCAAGTTTTTATATTCCATCACTTGATTAACATTTAACAAAGCTAAGAATATCATTCCTCATCAGATACCTTAACCAAGCATCTAATATGTCTAAGGAAGAATTAATCATAAAATCTTGCTTATTAACTGCATGTCAACATTCTTGAAGCTTCACCATCTTCTTTCATTCTTTTAAGCAATTCTCTTATTCGGACTACACATTGCCTGATTTCGCAATAAATTAAAAACGTTACAGGTATTAAAACTACAATTCAAAGTGCAACTCTACATCGCGCAATACCATAGGACAGATTATTACTAATTACACGTGCTATGTTGTACGATAAAAAATTAATGTTAGCTAGTAATATTTCTAACTTCTGCACAGAGCAGATGACGACCCAAAATAGTTGCAAAACTCATCGGCAAAGAATAGATAAATGGTACGTTAACTTTAAGAATATTTTCGTAAGGGAATGAAGTTTGCTTAGGTTTACCTGTTAGTACTTTGAGCAGATCCTCTAGCATCTTTCATCTGGCTATTAAGATTATCTGCTAGATTGACTAAAAATCGACTAAATACAGCAAGCTGAACCAATGAACCTTCTTCAAAAAGACCACTGGGAAGACTTTCAACAATCTAGTATGGTATGACCAACGTTAATTATCCAAGTTAAGACTTTTATGTTAATTTACCTATACTTTCATATACCTCGGAGCTTTGCTTTACACATCCTGGATAATCCAACGAATTTCGCATCCCAAGTATTATGTATCTATTTAGTAAACCATCTATAGCAATTTCTTCTAAAGTATTTGTTGCTATTATGCCATACCATTGAAAGACATTACGATATAACTAATAAATAAGAAGAAATAACAATTATTAAAGAACGTTCAATATACCTAAAATGATAAAGAAATAAAGATAACTATTCTTTACCTTAATACAACGCCAAAGCTGACGTTTTGCAAATAGTGTAGCATCCGGAAAGGTAGTAAATGTCCTAGTTATACAAGAGTAAGTATTAATTTTAAGGTATACTATTGAATACTTTAATCTCAAAGACCAACGAAATTAAAATAATTTCTACAATCTTATTTCACTACTATATTCTTACGAACTTTTTATGGTATAATGGAATATACATTTCATTATCTAAGCAGCGTTTCATTCGTTTAACGGCGGCAGAGCAAATTTCCTGAGATAAAAGATTTTACTTACGAAGGTTACCAATAATTATGATACATAATTAATTTACCATACAATTGAATTTAATACGGATTATTTATCGCCAGTTAAGTTATTATCAATACAGTTCAGATAAAATTACGCACTGTGACAACCTAACGGGCATCAAATCGCTATAGCATTGCAGTTTACCATACCATCATTTAATGAATTATAGGCACGGAGGTAAGAGAATGCATTGAATATTTATTACTAATAATGAGATAGCACCTACTAACTATCATAAAGTAATAATCTAATTCGCAAACCTGTGTAGGCTTACGATCTGCAGATACAGTCGGATATTCCTCGAATAATCTTTTCATTAATGAAATTAATATCTGTGTCTGCTTATTGGACAATGGATCCCAAACATCCTCTATCATCCCTAACAGATTAATTGAACGCAATGTCCATTACTAAAAGCTACGATATCAACTTTAATTGATAGAAGGAGAATACCAAAATATTTTGCAAGTTACATTTTAATTTGGGAAGAACCACAGTTTCAACTATGTTTGGAAGTAAGAGTAAATCTTCATCATTTGGGTCCAATTCAGTATCAGTGCTTTGACTACCATACAGCATTAACTGCTCAAACCAAGGTAAATTTTCGAAATCGATAGTATTCAACTATGAAAACGCGTATAAAGAAGATCTTAATTATAAGGATAATGTATAAAATGCGACTGATGCGGAAATTGTCCAATTTTTTTATCACCATACTTCAAATATATTCCACCGTAGCAATTGTAATCGTATAAACGGCGAAAATAGCTTGGGCAGGCATAGCGGAATATAAGCGTCTTTGTACGATTCCGAAAAAGAAAATTTCCATCTTTCAAATTGCTTCATTATTTTTCTGATATCGTGAAAATCATCAACGACATCATCAAATACTTTATCGCCTTCTTGTTTCACTTTCTCTATTTATCAAAGTATGAAAATGTAATTGACTAGTATTAATAAACGCAATCATAATTCTTATTTTATCTTCTCCATTGCAGTATGCTATACCATCACGTAGTCTTACCTATTTCCGTAGCAATTCTCGTTTCTTCGCTTTCGGGGATTTCGTCATCGGTTGATAGACCTTCACTATTATTCTTTTCTGCTAAGCGTTTACGATTATTTCGTCTTGCGATTCTATCCTCTTTTCGTTTCTGCTTTGCACTGTTGGTAAACATTTTGCGATCTCGGCCGAATTCATCAACATTACTTTCGACATTGTCGGTTTTACCTAGAGATTTTGATGTTATTAAGCAATATCGTCCAATGAGTATTGTCTTTTACTGGAAACACACCAAACATGGTTTGTATTCTCATGCAAGTTAACTACTATTATAAGCTATTAAAATTGTGTTGCAGTGTTTATCCATCTTTGAATGTACCTAAGTACTCATCATCTTCGTCTTTGACATCGTTCGTTCGGCGACTCACAACACGGCTGGCTTTCTCCTTTAATAGTGATTGTAGCGTTTCCTCGCAATCTTGTATTGTAGTAATCTAAAATGAAAGCAATAAGATTAGTCATGTCGGTAGCCAATTCAAGTATAGTCTTGGCTAAATTTTTGTTGTCAAGTTTACTTTTTCATTTAGGCATTCTAGTAGATCGTTGACGTATTGTCGTATATCTTGGAAGAAAGTAAATCGATTGCAAGCATCAGCCGATTGCTGCTCTAATGAAGTTACATTTGCTTGAGATTCCTGATGATAAGTAGTGACCCTGTCCATTTCGCGTTGATGGGCTTGTAATTCCTCTGTGGCAGCTTGTAGTCTGTTTTTCATTTTTAAACGGAAATCTTCAATGGAAACAGTGGTTTGAGTAGGAGGTACCGTTGGAATTGCTATGGATTGCGAGACCGCGTTTGGTATAGTCGCATTACTATTATTTGAAGTTGTATTTTGTTGATTGGTCCATTGTGACGACGCAGGAGTAGCTTGCAGAGCAGCACTGCCCTTTTTAATTTGCTCTTGTTCCCATCGCGATACCTCTTCGTCTTCCTCATCCACATGATCAATTTCAGTGGTATCAGGAAAGGAATTTCTGTTAGCAGAACATTATTGGATATTAGCTGGTACAGTTTAATAGTCTTGTATTTTGAAGACAATGAGAAAAATCTGTCAGCCATCTATTATTGTTTGAAAATGTCACAGTTATAGTAAAAGATTCTTTCTGGAAGTACTGAGGGATAAACTGTACGTAAGTCATACCAAATGGATTCCACTAGGGGCAATGTACACACCATTTGCCACATTGACAGATTGGAAATATACTACACTAGTGATGAGCGAATGGTGTTGTATACGTCTGTATTGAAAAATAGTATCTACTTGTAGCATACAAAGGGTAATACCGTGTATCAACATTTGCGATATTGATGATCATGATTGTCGATCTTTACAAACTATAGAGATCGATAGATAGTCGTCCATTGGACTTTAGGCCTACTGTACTCTTACTCATATTACAGTAGGACGTCATTGTATTGCAGTTGCAAAGTACACTACTACATTGAAGGCAAGTTATCGATACAGACTATGACAGCCTTCATTGAATCTATTCTTGACAACAATTTCATGCACATGCCTTAGACAATTAGCATATACCCAATCAATCAGTATCCTATCTTGACCGACTAAAGTCGTTACTTACGTATTTTTAATGTTACTAAAGCTTAACTGACGATAATCATCTTCAGGATCGCTTTTATCATTGTCATCCTCTCTGACTAGTCTTGAGGTTGCTTGACTACTTTTATCTGTTGAATCCTCCGTCTTTGTATAACGAACAGTATCATCGACAGGGATGTAATCACTTCCATACTGTCTTTTCAATTCACGTTGTTTCTTTAATGCATGAATTGTTGCTGCATCAGGAATATCCGATGAGAATTTGGCTTTGACGATTAAGTCGGAAGGATGCACTGTTTTCTCCTTGGATGTAAAACTTAAATTATGATGTACATTTTTCTTCCCGGATAGTTTATTACTGCTCTTGTGACTAGCGCTTGTATTCTTGGCTTTCTCTGGACCTTGCTTAAATAATTTGGCCATTTTTTGACTTTCCACTGATTTTTTGACCACAAAGACGTCACCTTCATCTTCATCGTGATGGAAACTAAGTGCTACTTGCTTGGAAGAACTTTTGATCTTGTCATTTGTACCTTGAATGACATTGATTTTGCTACGATTGAAATCCTGACTAGCACTCTTACTTGTACTACTCTTGTTATTATTATTATTATTATTATTATTAGCAGTAGTTATGGTGGTGGTGATGGTTGTCGTATTGATATTGGACTGTGAGACAATTTCTTTCTTGGGTATACTTTCCACTTCGTCGTCTTCATCTACTTTACGACGGAAATTTTTCTTGTTGCTCCGTCTCTTGATCATCTCTTATCCATGAACGAGTTAGCAAAACGTATTCGTCATTCAATTTTCACAATGTCCAGCAAACTTTGACTGCTACAATGATGCTAGGAATAATTTTCAAGCCGAAAGGAAGAATTTTCAACGCAAAGTGGCCATGCTTTGACCCATGGAATCCAGGATGTTGTCATGGAATGGTGCTTGCACGAGGCTTGCGTCAATCGCACTGCAGTGGTGAAGCGAGTCCAGTTGAATGGTGGAGTTGACTTCAACTCGACGACGACAACGTGCGGTACCTCGAGTGAGTACAGTATAGTCACTGGATAGAACGTCGAGTTTGAGTGTACCACTCTAGTGTACCGGCTTCAACCATGTCGGTTGATCCGCCCGCGGTCGTTTGTCATGGTGTTTGTGATTGAAGTGTACTGTACTGTACAGTGTACAGTATGGCAGATTCCTCAAGACAGACTGTACTGGGTGAGTATCATACTGTACAGTGCAGTGTAGTGTCGCTAGCTGTAATTGACAGTACTCAATGTACTGGTTTCAACCATGTCGGTTGACCCGCGGTCGCTCGTCATGGTGTTTGTGATTGAAGTCTACTGTACAGTGTACAGTATGGCAGATTCCTCAAGACAGACTGTACTGTACTGGGTGAGTATCATACTGTACAGTGCAGTGTAGTGTCGCTAGCTGTAATTGACAGTACTCTACTGGTTTCAACCATGTCGGTTGACCCGCGGTCGCTCGTCATGGTGTTTGTGATTGAAGTCTACTGTACAGTGTACAGTATGGCAGATTCCTCAAGACAGACTGTACTGTACTGGGTGAGTGTCATACTGTACTGTACTGTACAGTGTAGTGTCGCTAACTGTAATTGACAGTACTCTACTAGTTTCAACCATGTCGGTTGACCCGTGGTCGCTCGTCATGGTGTTTGTGATTGAAGTCTA